GTTGGCGTAGTCGATGGTGTGACTTCCACGTAAGATCTTATAGATTAGGCAGTTATATCATGACGAATCTACAAATTTAGGATTAGGTCTATTATTAGAGCAGTACTAATATCGTAGTAGACCATAATTCTACATTGGTGAGCCCGACGATAGCTAGGAACAAATCGTTAAACATGAGTGTATTCGTAAGAGACATGCCACAGATCAGAACATTGAGTCTAGAGCATGTCTCTTACGAATACACTCATGTTTAACGATTTGTTCCTAGCTATCTGTCCAAAATTCATATAATCATCACTCACGTATTTAAATTTTGTTTTTATGAACATTCATGTGTATTAGTAGTATTACTAAATTCTATCACGGTCAAGTAAAAATGAGGTTGAGAAAATCTCCCCGTAACTAAATAAACCGTATCAAACTAACTGGAACACTAGTCGGAATTCTTTTCCATGGTAATACTTTTGTTCTCCCAGTTAGCCTACTAATACAGATGCAATTGGAAATCACATATGGACGGGTTACCGGCATAATTGTTAATTGGTTTCATAATTTAAACCAAAACTAATACCGATATTAACATTTCTACAATATTCATTATTTTAATATTTCTAAACACAAAATAATTACTGCCTATAAGTTAAGTTATTAACACGCATCGTTTTATTATTATTATTGTAATCCCATTTTTTATAGTTCAAATAATCTTCAACCAAATTTTCATTTTAAGCGTGTTAATCATGAAAGCAGATATTTTAAGATTATTACATGTATTTCCCGACCAGATGCTGCCGCCTTCTTTTTGATTTATCTTTCAGCTTATCAATACCCGGAGGATCTTTATTATCCTTGGTAACCTCCGGCGCGCGACGATCCCATCCAATTTGGTATCGAACCAACATCACGTTGATTCTGGTGGGAGAGTAGTGTAGTGGCATTGGACAATAGCCACACAATCTACAAAGCTGTGAACACGAGACTACTCAGAAAATAGATATTCAATATTTAACTCGGGGAAATACCTAACAATGGAGAAGGCGCGGAGAATGAATTGAATGGACTGGAGTTGATCGAGTGGCATGGCTCGGCCATGCAGGCGTGGTCTCTATTCATATTAAATATATTGTTCCTTCTCTAACTTAACCTTGTCCTTCATCATGTATTGGTAATTGATACGATACAGTGAGTTGGCGTAGTCGATGGTGTGACTTCCACGTAAGATCTTATAGATTAGGCAGTTATATCATGACGAATCTACAAATTTAGGATTAGGTCTATTATTAGAGCAGTACTAATATCGTAGTAGACCATAATTCTACACATCCACTCTCTGTGTTCTCCAAAATTCTAATCTTCTGAATTCTTCATGTCCCTTTTTCCTCTTTCCAAATTTCTTTCACTGGATTATACTCTTTAAATAACGTCTCCAAACCCTAATCTTCCCGATTACTGCTTATACTCTTATTACCTCTACCACTATGGGATTTGAATCGACAAATGCATCTCTGTGCTAATGTGGTGTGGCAACTCGAACTGATGTACGTACGTACGAAGTTCTACGTTGTTACTGACTGACTGACTGACTGACTCTTACTACAAGGGATCATGTAGTACAATATAGTAATAAAGAAACAAGGTACAATGAAAATTTCGGTTCATCGTAAGTTCGTGGACGCTTTATTTTCGTTTCAAGCCGTCCTGGAAAAGAAGAAAGGGATATGTTAGTGCATGTCGAAAGACACTTATACGCCGGTAAAGACACAAAGCGGGTGAAAAGAAGGGGAAACTCATGCACATGCGACGCCGTAAAAAAACGACTTTTACAGAATGGTTTCTTTTATTTTTGTTTAGAAAAGTTTTGATACACATATATTACCAAAAAAGGTTTTTGATAAATGTACAAATGTAAGCATATTAAAATTGTTTTTTTATATTATATATAATACAAAGAAAAATTGAGACAAAACAAAACGTTTACTAGTGTCGCACGTGCAATAATCGTTCAGACGTTCTGGAAATCTTACTCTTCTTCCATAACTCGTTGATTTGAGTCTATTTCCTGTTACTGCCAAAGCATCTCCGTGTGTGTTGGCTATCAGATGAGGTATCATGAGTGTATTAGTAGTGTCTTTCGAAGGAAAATCGACATGCATAGGGTTTCTTTCAAAATACGTCGTCTGATGCGGTCGATGCTGATGTCATAGTCAGTTCCGTTCTCATCGTCGATGCGAGTCTCGACGAACGAAAACGTGTGTACTATATCGTAAATCAGGTTGAACAAAAACGTCAGTTGACTGCGGAAACAGGTTTAACTGAACGCATCGCGTTTGTAAGCCTGTTCGTGTAGGAGGTTAGATTGAAGGAGGATGAAGGATCCACGAATTCTCCTGGAAGTGGAAGTGTCATTCCATAAACGGGCTGAGCCGCAGAGTATCCATTGTCAGCTTTCACTGCACTGCGAATACCTAGTAGGACGAGTGCAAAAGCGTCAGTCCACTGAGAAATGTTTGCAGCTGATAGTGAAGCTTTTATTTGCCAGTGAAAGCGTTCTACTAACCCGTTTGCTTGTGGGTGGTAGGCCGTCGTTCGGAAGCGAGTGGTCCTTAATAGTGTGTTCAGACAACGGAAAATTTCAGAATCGAATTGACGTCCGCGGTCTGTAGTTATGGTTGAAGGCCAGCCGAAGTTAGCTACCCATCGTTCGACGAAGTCGCGGGCCACTGTTTCAGCAGTGATGTCCTTGATAGGTACTGCTTCTGGCCATCGAGTGAAACGGTCGATGCAGGTCAAGTGATAAGAGTATCCATTTGAATCTGGTAAAGGTCCTACCAAATCCAGATGAACATGGTCGAAACGAGCATCGGGAGTTTTAAATGAGCCTAAGGGACATTTATTGTGTCTGATAACCTTAAATTTTTGGCAGCTTACACGGGAGCGTGCCCACTCCCTCACGTCTTTATTCATGCCAGGCCAGCAAAACCGTTCTGCTATAAGCTTGATGGTTGCACGAACACCTGGATTAGAAAGTTTGTGCAACGTGTTGAAGACGTTGCGTCGATAATGTTTCGGCACGATTGGGCGATTCCTACCAGTAGACGTGTCACAAAGTAAGGTTTCCTTACCTGTTCCCATCTGTTTGATGCGTAGTTTAAGTGTTGTGGACGATAACTCGTGCTGAAGATCAGTGTCTTCTTTTTGTAGCTGGGCGAGTTTAAGAAGGTCGATTCCTTGGAAACTGTTCAAGGAAGTTATTCGAGATAAGGCGTCTGCGACTACATTGTTTGCTCCAGAAATGTGTTGGATGTCTGAAGTAAACTGAGAAATGCAGTCCAGTTGTCGAGACTCACGAGTGGTTAATTGTCCTGATCTGCAATCATTGTTGCTTTAGCGACATGTTCCTCAACTGTGGAGAATGCTTTTCTTGCGGTGTCATCTAAAGTGGTGGATTTCTCATTTCCACGAAGTTGGTCGGTTAGCGGTTTCATAAGTGACGCGCATTTCGGTGTGGACCGTTTATAGAAACTTACTAGGCCGTTAGACGTGCGTATTTGTTTGATGGTGGTCGGTTCTGTATAATCCAGCATGACCACGAGTTTGCTCTTTAGAGGTCGAATACCTTTCATATTATTAGTGTGTCCTAGGAAATCTAAGAAGTTGATTCAAATTTGATATTTCCGGATGTTTGCAGTAACGCGATGTTTTTGCAGTCGTTCTGAAACAAGGTCCAGATTGTGGAGATGCGAAGTGTATGACATAACTCTGTTATGTCATTCTGGGTCATTTGAGGCTTTTCTTTGGCTGAAAAAGCCTCGACGTTAGAAGATTTCGTGATTTATAAAATACGGTTGGCAGATGCAGCTAGCTCGTCTGAGGCGTTGTTTTGGAACGAAACCAGCACAGCTTGCACCTGCTGAGGAAGTTTGTACAAGGAAAGGCCATCATCGAAAGTTCTTTGGCCGATAACTTCTCTCATCCACTGCAACATGTCCGTCGCAGAACCTTGTTGCAGATCGACGTTATTGAGTTGGCCTAACCTTTATCTATCGGTTAGGTCTCCGCGTTTAGGAATAGATCGTTTCAGTGTTTCTTAGGGTTCCAAAACATCATCAGTAAACATACTAGGTGTTACGTACTTGTTGGATTCGCGCGGTAGTGCCTTGACTACTGCGAGGAGTTGTGCACGTGTGTCGTTCATGCCGTGCTCGTAGAAGTCGGCTTCTGCGTAGCAGAACCAAGCCTCGATGTTATCTGGCCAGAAGGGAATTAGTTGGAACGAAGGTGGGGACATAATCTTAAGCTTAAGTACTTTGGGTGTCTGTTCAGTCATCGTGAAATATCACGTTCGGGAATGAACGAGTAATATATACATATATATAACCAAAAACACGAAAATATATAACAATATATGATGGTTGAAATATAGCAATAAAATACAGAATTCCAAAATAGAAGAGACTCACAGTTTACGACTTCGTGAACCAGATCACGTTGGGCTCACCAGTGAAGACGTCACAGGTATTCGGAGTTTGGAAATGATTTAACCAGTAACACCTAGTATGAATCGTACCTACCAAGTAGAATCAAAAGACAGAAGCGAGGAGGTTAGAAGACATATTTGATATGCTATCAATATATCGAGAACCCACTGATCTAATCTGCTAGCCAGATTGAAGGGGTTGTTGGGCACGGCGTTCCCACTCGTGATCTGGTGCGGATGCATGAACGAGCGCCTTCAGGTAGGCGTGTCCATTAGAACTAATGTGGTCAGCATCCAATGTCGAAGATTTACAGAGCTATTGATTGGGGGTTTATTTACCGCTACACTATTGTAGTTATTCGACAAGGTTTATGGGACGATGTTGAAAATTTGGCGCCTATCTACAATATCTGGACATAAGGGAGAAAAAATCAACTAGTCCAAATCGGCTCTTTACGAATATATTGAATATTGTGGTGTTTCCGAAGTGTAACATTACAAATTTATTCGTTACCTGTTTGGTATGGCACTTCGACTTGCTTCACGTAGACTGAGTCCAATAATCTCCTCAGTATATTTTCACTTCCAACAATGCGTAACACATATTTCTAGATACGTCATAGGAAAATCGGGTCAGCCACTAAATATGTCCCTTTGTTTGAAACGGTTCATATGCCGGAGACTAAGGTGACTACTTTGGGAAGTAACGGTTTTCGGATAGCTTCTGAGAACTGGAATACTCCTACATGCACGGTTTGTAACCCTACAATGGTTTTACTCGATTTTAGGTTGGCGTTTGGGTGGACGTTGGTAGTCGATATGAGACGGAATCTAATAATGGTGTAGCTCATTTCCTTGAGCACATGGCTTTTAAGGGGACTGAAAAGAGGAGTCAACAGTCTTTAGAACTTGAAGTGGAAAACAAAGGTGCGCATTTGAATGCATACACATCTCGTGAGATGACGGTGTATTATGCGAAATGTTTTGTTGAGGATCTACCTTGGGGTACAGTTTATAATATTTTAATATGTACTACATAGCGGTTGAATTATTATCGGATATATTAAAGAACAGCAAGTTTGAGAATAGTCAGGTCGAACGTGAAAGAGGGGTCATTTTACGGGAAATGGAGGTTTGTTTAATCTTGTTTGATAAGTTTGTAGGAAATTGAGAGTAATTACCAGGAGGTCGTCTTTGATTACCTGCATGCAACTGCTTATCAAGGGACACCTCTTGGGAGAACGATTCTTGGACCTGTAGAAAATGTCAAATCTTTGAAAGCCAGTGATATGAAGAATTTTATCAAACAGAACTATAAAGCACCACGAATGGTGCTCAGCGCTGCAGGAGGTATTTGGAGGATTATTTCAAGCTAATATTTCAGGAGTCGACCATAAGCAACTATGCGACCTCGCGGAGAAACATTTTGGCGATCTCCAGGCATCTTATCAGGAAGGCGAAGGGGTACCAAGCATACAACGCTGTCGTTTTACAGGCTCTGAGATTCGTGACAGAGACGATGCTATGCCAGTAGCTCATGCTGCGATAGCGTTCGAGGGTCCGGGTTGGCAAAGTTCAGACACATTAGCACTGATGGTTGCAAGCAGTCTGCATGGTGCTTGGGATAGAAGCTATGGGGGAGGATTTAATGTTGCCAGCAAGCTGGCCTCCAAGTTTTTTATGGAAAATTCGGTACACAGTTTCCAGCATTTCTTTACTTGCTACCATGATACTTCTTTATGGTTAGTAATGTTTTGGATCCATTAAGTTAAATTAAACCCATAACAACGTTATTTATATAGTTGAAATATGCATTGTCAGATGTTGTTAGCAATAATTCAACAAGAAATATATTGCTTATTGTTGCGAAATTTCATGTCCACATGAAGAAAGGAGATCGACTAAGGATGACAGGAACTAAAATAACTGACAAATATTGTACAATGTAGCAAGTACCTAACCGGATTCTAGAATCAGCTTCGAACTGTGTAGGATAGTCGCAGACTATACAGTAACTCTACACAGTTATCCCAGCTATTCTTAGTCAAACTTCCTGCTCTAATTTATTAATTGAGTCATTTATGAATGAAGAAAGTATTCGTTTCTCATTGTATACTTCTCAATTCCCACCAGAAGCTATTGATCTCTAAACCACAAAGCTTGCTTCGATCAATGTTGCAGGAAATTTCAGGTTCGAAACGAACAAAGTGGGATCAGTTTCAAATGTACTTAGACTTATGTTGTAACACTCCTTACCAATACAAAAACTGAGTATTAAAAGCAGATGTAAAAGTAATTTTTGGTGCAACGAAGAACGATATGCAAAATATATCTGATATAATCGTATGGGATATGATTTTAGGTTTTTTGTATCAGTGTGTCAATTGGTTAATGTGATCAGACACTTGGCTTCGTATGACTGACTAGTGTGGTTAGTCTTGAGCTTCTTTGCATTGCATTTCTTAATGATTAAAATTTTTCAGAAACCATGGTGTCAGGGTTTGCATTTGATTTGAATCTTCTTTGAGTTTTGTAGGTTAGTCATAGTACCCTCAGTTGCTAGGTCACTGTACATGATTGTGTCCATCAACCAAATGCAAATATCACCATTTACTTCGTCACGTTTTAACTACGCGTCTGATATGACAATTGGGGTAAAACCCAAAAGGCTAGTGAATTAGTCTAAATGGATTTAAAGATAGACTTACTCATGGACCGGTCTGGATTAATGTCTAGTTTGGTGCAGAAGATGTAGTTAAGCGTGGCAATTACCTGAGATACTTGAGTAGTCCTATCAGCTCTGGTGGGTCGTAGTCCACTTCGAGACCAATAGAAAACTCTCCTGATTTTCGCCAACTTATCTTAAGGATTATGTTTGTGTTACCGCTAAATGTCTTCATTTACACGACACGGCTTATGAAATAGATGTTCCTTAATGTGAGTTATGTTTCGAAAAGCCTTTTTTATCAAGGCACATGTTTAATTTGGTGAACCAATCAATACATATGTTGGTATCATTACCAAGGTTTAACTTGATAATTTCAAATAGATTGCGCATTGGGTAGATTGTTATAGATAAAAATAGTATATTTGTAATATCCCAAAGAGTAGGAAACATAGATTTTCTAACGTTTCGTGACTCAGTATAAACCACTTCAGAGAACATAAGTTTTCTACCCATTGGGGTATTACAAACATATTTTTATTTACGATACATACGTTTCTCAATATTCATCGTACTTTTTCTTCGGACATGTAATACTTTCATTTTTACTTGTATAAGTTAGCCTGTAGTTATATATCTCACTACTCCTCCCGAAATTTTTAGGGGAGTTTACTTAACAGCAGAAAAGATGGGTTTGGGTGAATCTGTTGGAGAATTCCTTAAAGAATTTGTCCGTATGTGTACTCAGGTTACTCAGCATGAAATCGACAGAGCGAAGAACCAATTGAAAACACATCTTCTTTTGCAGTTAGATGGCACTACACCTATTTGTGAAGAAATTGGTCGGCACATGTTGGTGTATGGTCGTCGTATACCTATAACTGAATTGCTAGCCAGAATTGACGTAAGTTAGACTTAACGTACTTGGCATTTCCTTATTAGCTTCGTATCGGAATTGCTTTCTTCCTGGGTTGTCAACTTAACTCCTATTTGGCTTATTTATGTTAGTAACTAAAAGTTTGTTTACTTGTTTTCTCTGTTAAAACTTCATTCTGTCCATGATTCTACACATTGTTAAGCTGACAGCAATGTAGTGACTTTTCTCAAACCATTTTCAGTTAGTTTATATTTATCTATAGAATGAGCAAGTTTTGTAAGATAAACTCATTTGAGGTTCTCGTACAAAGCTTACGAATTTAAAATGTAGTTGATTTTCCCTGACATTCCGTCTGTAGTCTGTTAGTTTCACTTCATCGTCTGCATTATTTGTCATTTTCTGATAAAAAATATGGACTGTAACCAATGTGTCAAGAACCATTTATCAAATCAGTCATTGTAAAATTATCACCAACTGTGATCCCTCTAATTATTCTTTATCAATTACAATAGCACATATATGAATGTCGTTCATTTTAAGTAAAGAAAAAGAAGAAATACAGGTTTACCAATGTTGTACTTCATTTTGCTTAGTTTCGGATCATAGTAGTGAGTTCACAATATTTTTGATACTGGTCTTTTTATAACAGGTTTCTACCACCAGTTAACTGTTCTTCAGAAAGTGCGTTCGACAGATATTGTAGTACTAGCCGGAGACTTGAATGCTCAGGTCGGGCGTCTAGGCACAGAAGAGGGTCGTTTAGGTGGCCGATGGGGACTTGTTGGTCACAGGACAGATAACGGAGACCGTCTACTGCAACTGTGCACAGACCACAATCTGTTTCTGGCTAACAATAACTTTCGGCATAGTCATCGCCGATATGCCACCTGGCGTCCTCCCTCTGCATCTCAAGCCTGGACTCAGATTGATCACATCGAGATCAGCTACCGCTGGTGTGGTTGTGTACAAGACTGCCGCTCCTTTTGGAGTACCTATCTGGACTCTGACCATGCCTTGGTCTGCGCCAATCTTGCCTTACTTTTCAGTGGCCAACGAAGTGAACGCCATCAACGGATTGATGTTAGCAAGCTGGTTGCAACTTCTGTTGCAAGTAAGTATCGAACCGAGCTAGCCTCTAGGCTAGCTACCACTCCACCGAAAAGTATAGATGAACATTGGTTGCAATTGCATGACGCCATGAAAATGGCGGGAACAGTCAGTTGTGGGTTTGCGAAACGTCCCGCTTTTAAGCACTGGGTTTCTTCTGGTTCCTTACATCTCATTGAAGCCCGTCGGTCTACTCCGGGTGACCGTGAGTTTGACCATAAACGAAGGCTGTTACGTAAGGAAATTGGGCAAAGCTTGCGTAAGGACCGAGAAGCCTGGTGGTCGGAGCGTGCTAATGAGCTGGAAGCAGCAGCTGCATGTGGTAACTACCGGAAGCTCTTTCAACTCATCCGAGTCACTGGCAGCAAGAAGTCTGGTGTGAGCGAGATCATCTGTGAGGATGACGGGATGCCAATCACTAACATCCATCGGCGTCTTTTACGATGAGTAGAATTTTTTGAAGGGCAGTTCAACTACCCGATCGAAGCTGCTACCTTGACGCGGTGGTCGGGCTTGCCTATCGTGATGACCCAACCGAGCTATATTGGCTGGAACATATGTTCCTGCAGGTTCTACCATGCCAGGCGGGTCGATTGGCGAACGGTAAGACTAAAAGCAGCAACTCAAGGTCTGAGGGCGAAGTCGTACTGCTGACTGTAGAGAGGTGTGACAGCAGTAAGGTGTTTCCCTCGAACAACCAGCATGACAGCGATGCTGTCTTCCCACAAGGAGGGGTGGGGTTGGAAAAGGTCGACCCTAAAAATGCACACCTCACCTTACCTCACGGATTTCCGTCTCCGGCGGTAAGGCCCTTTGAAGAACGGAGCTAACACATTAAAAACTTCTAACGATAAGGCCGTGCGCGACCGGCCTCAAGCAGTTGTCCCTTGGGCTCTGCGGTCACGCTCCCAGGTCGTCAAGACCAACACTAATCCAATTTCCTTTTCAGGTTCCTCAAGAAATACCCTTCCACGTTGTGGGCAGCCGGGAAGTGATATCAGCCCTCATACCCGTAACAGCACAAGAGACCAAGGTGGTCACATTCAAATCCTTCCTACACCTCCTAATACCTCTCTTATCCTCCCGACTAACCCTCCTCACGTCTCTTTATCACCTCGCACCGCTAGGGCAAACGATTCGAGTACGTGGAACGCCATTCCTGGTCTCCTGAAACCACGCTCCAAACTACACGTACGAGCTTTTAACGTACGAACACTTTGCCAAATAGGACAGCAGGCTTCCTTAGCTAAAACTTTAGAATCTCGCGCCATCGATGTGTGCTGCGTCTCCGAAACGCGCATACAGGATCCAAGTAGCGTCATTCATTTGACCTCACCATGCCAAAATAAAGAACCGACTCGATTTACGCTTCGTGTATCTGGAAGCCCTGATTCTGCTTCCCGTGGCCTCGCCGGTGTAGGTATAGCATTGAGTCCTAGGGCAGAACTAGCTCTCTTAGAGTGGATCCCAGTAGACAGTCGTTTGTGCGCTGTCCGACTAAACGGAACAGCAAGCACTCGGAAAGATAGGGACACTCGTCTCTGCCTATTCTCCCACTGACTGCAGCTCAGGTGATGTAAAAGATGAGTTTTACAGAAAGCTTTCGGACCTTCTCCGAAAAGCTAAGCGCTCGGATGTAGTAATAGTGGCCGGTGACTTTAATGCTCAAGTAGGTAAACTAAGCGATAGGGAAAGACACCTAGGTGGATCTTATAGCATTGTGGCTCAAAGAACAGATAATGGCGACCGTCTGTTGCAGCTATGCTCAGATAACCGCCTGTTCCTTGCAAATACTAACTTTAAGCATAAGGAAAAACATCTTTTAACATGGCGACCCCCTAATTCGCCCCAACGTTGGACCCAAATAGATCACATAGCTATCAGCCACCGATGGAGGGGCTCGATAGAAGACTGTCGCTCATTCTGGAGCACATGCCTAGATTCAGATCATGCTCTAGTGCGAGCGCGTATTTGCTCGCGTCTTACTGGACGTAGGAAAGATCCTGCAAGGAAACCTCTTAGGGCCCTACTTAATGATAGTCAAGCTAAGAGTATATTTCAGGAACAACTAGGAAAACAGTTAGGCAGCCATGTATGTGATGCCCACCCCGATGCAGCATGGAATGATATCCGAAAAGCTGTGGAAACAGCAGTGATATCTGCTAGTAAGGTAAACCAGAAGGTTAGGGAGCAACACTGGATCTCAGCAGAATCTATCACTGATAAGTACTCGGAAACTCATTCCACCTGGCTCTGAACATAATGAAAAGCGGAGTCAGCTTAAGCGCAAGCCGACAAGAAGCCTACGCAATGATCGCGAACAATGGTGGGTGGCGAAAGCAAGAGAGATGGAAAAGGCAGCGGCAATAGGTAATAGCAGACAATTGTTCAGACTCGTTAGGGAAACCGGAATTAGGAACCCGACCGTTAGCGAAACAATCTCAGAGAAAGATGGACATATTATTCATTCTCAATCCAGGAGATTGGATCGATGAGCAGAACACTTTAGGGATCAGTTCAACTGGCCTTCAGCCACACTTCGGTTTCCCACGATTTCTAGTCAACCTGAATGGCAAGTTAATGTAGGTCCTCCGTCCCTTTACGAAGTTAAAAAAGCCATAGGAAATCTGAAACGAGGGAGAGCAGCAGGCCCTGACAGGTTTACTCCTGAGATTTTTAAGGATGGTGGTCCAGTATTAGCAATGAGATTAACCGAGGTCTTAGGTAGAATTTGGGAACTGGAAGTAATCCCATCTGACTGGTCTCAATCACTGATTGTGCCAGTCTATAAGAAAGGACAAAAATCCTCTTGTGACAATCACAGAGGAATCAGTTTGACTAATATAGTGTCTAAAATATTAGCTTCAATAATACTTCGACGCCTAACTAAAGCTCGTGAAGAACAGACTAGAGAAAATCAGGCTGGTTTTCGACCTGGACGTGGTTGTATAGACCAGATATTCACACTACGTCAGGTTCTAGAACACAGACACACATTCAGACGCCCCACAATGGTAGTATTTCTCGACCTTAAGGCGGCATTCGACTCTGTTGATCGTGAGGTTCTATGGCAGTGTTTGTCACTGAAAGGAGTACCAAAGAAGTACATTAACCTTATAAAGGCTCTCTACTCGAACACAACTGGTAGAGTGAGAGCTTATGGCGAACTGTCATCAGAATTGATTACCTCAAGTGGTGTTCGTCAGGGCTGTCCACTCTCCCCATTCTTGTTCAACTTTGTGGTCGACGTACTTTTAGAGATAACACTCTCCTCATCTAAATTTCCGCTTCACTTATCTTGAAAGTCTCATCAGCCCTTGTGGTCTGGTGTTTGACGAAATCTCAACACGGATACAGAAGGCTCGACTAACTTTTGCCAACTTGCGTCATTTATGGCGTAGGCGAGATATCCGTCTATCAACTAAAGGACGTGTTTACTGCACAGCAGTTCGTTCCGTCCTACTTTATGGCAGTGAAGCATGGCCGGTAAGAGTAGAGGATATCCGTAGGTTACTAGTATTTGATCATAGATGTCTTCGAAACATTGCTCATATATCATGGGACCATCGAGTAAGTAACACAGTTGTTAGGAAACGGGTACTAGGTAAAGATGGCAAATCAATTGATGAAGTAGTGAAACTTGATCAGTTGAGATGGCTGGGACACGTGTTACGTATGCCCAACGACCGACTGCCTCGACGTGCTATGTTCAGTGGAATAGGAGTAGGTTGGAAGAAAGCTAGGGGCGGCCAAACCAAAACATGGCACAAGTCCATGAAGTCACTGACAAGTGAACTGAGTCATGTTGGTAGGTGTAGACTACCTGGTTGGGGACCGCGAGATGATAGCAACCGATGGTTAGAGACCCTGAATGACATGGCTCAAAATCGTTTGCAATGGCGCAGGTGCATCCACTCTCTGTGTTCTCCCAAATTCTAATCTTCTGAATTCTTCATGTCCCTTTTTCCTCTTTCCAAATTTCTTTCACTGGATTATACTCTTTAAATAACGTCTCCAAACCCTAATCTTCCCGATTACTGCTTATACTCTTATTACCTCTACCACTATGGGATTTGAATCGACAACAGCATCTCTGTGCTAATGTGGTGTGGCAACTCGAACTGATGTACGTACGTACGAAGTTCTACGTTGTTACTGACTGACTGACTGAGTTCAACTGGCCTGCTGCTCCGGCAGCATCGGTCAGACTGTCCTGGTGGTGGCGTGAGTGATGAGATCAATGCACGTATAGTGAAAGCCAGAGCGGCTTATGCCAATCTGGGCCATCTTTGGCGCCTTCATGATGTTAGTCTGGCTGTAGAATGTCGGATCTACAACGCATCGGTGAGAGCAGTTTTGCTCTATGCTTGTGAAACCTGGCCTCTCCGAGTTGAGGACGTTAGAAGACTCTGTGTTTGATCGTCGGTGTCTCCGAAGGATTGCTGACATCCAGTGGCTACACCATGTTAGTAATGCAGAGGTTCGGCATTATGTGTTCGGGCACAGAGATGAGAATGCAATTGATGTCACCATCTCGAAACACCGACTTTGGTGACTTGGACATGTTCTACGAATGTCGTCCCAGGGAATTCCACGTTGCGCATTAGTTGTCGACTCTGGGACTGGTTGGAAAAAGCGGAGATGTGGTCAGTGTATGACATGGTGTCGTGGTATGAAAGAAAGCTGCAAAAGGCTGACTTGTGTTGGTCCTTCACGACTCCCTGGCTGGGGTCTGAGAGATGGTGCAGCACAGTGGCTAGAGACGTTATCAGATATGGTTCAGAATAGAAGCCAGTGGCGATCGTGCTGTAACCTTCTTTTACTTTCATAAAAAGTGGTTGTATCTTTCTTAACTGAAAGATTTCTTCTGATTGTACCTTTTCGTTCCCCCCATTATTATTACTATTACACTACCTTACACTAATCTGTTCGTTATTGTCCTTTTTTAACGCTCCTCACCTTTTTTCCTTCTCTTCAAATTCTCATTGTTTTGTGTGGCGCAAATATATTTGGAGACCTCTTGTACCAATATTTGTGTTCAAATAAATAAATTAAAACAGGTTTCAGAAATATCTTCTGGTCATAAATGTCTTGATGTTTGTAATAATATCAGTAAGATAGATATTAAAATAAGTTTGCATGCTATGTGCATGCAAATCCGACTCGTTATTGTTCCTATTTGCCCCAAAATGCCCTGGTACAGCCGAGAGTGGGGAGAGTCCGCCCTCCCTCTTGAAATGCTCTAACATGGCCACGCGTATATAGCCTCTACCAGGGAAGTCCTATTCATTGCCTTTTCGTGGTGGGGGTGTTGTTTGCGAACTTGAGAAGACGAGAAGCTAATGTCCGGCGCTTTAACCGGGTTGGTAGTCATGGAGAATCCACCTATGGGAGTTGGAAAACCCTGATTCTAAACCAATGGTGCACATGGGCTCCAGTATCCTGAGGGAACAAATGGCGTATGAACCAAACGTTGGTAACCGGCTACCATGGGACTGGATCTCTTACGATGCTCCACTACCTTGTGGATCAGACTTTCAGGTCGAAGGCTCGGGGAGTGGCTCCCTAAGAAAACCACCTGGTTCGGTTTGGGCACCCGGGCAGTATCACAGCCCTCACACATATCAAATGAGATTTGTGTGGCGCATATGTATGTGATACCTCATTGTACCAATATCTATGTGTTCAAATATTAATATAAAACCTATGCACCCATCAGGCTAATGCTCTGCTAGTTGGTTGGTGTTATAAATATTTAAACAGTAGATATAAAGCGTAGGGTCAGATAAGATTAAAGGTTGCTTCAGAGTTCAAACGGTGGTAAGTTTTCTGGTAGCTGAACTATATGCAGTTGGTAAATGTATAAGTTACCCTTTTGAACTTCAGTAATGATTATTTTTACGAAATAAGTTAAACAGTAAATACGATGGTTTTTTCGAAGTTTTTGTTAAATATAATACTTTCTGTACGTTTGTTTTCTAGGCGCTTAATGCTGAACATGTTAGGGAAACATGCATGAAGTACTTCTTTGATAAATGCCCTGCTGTCGCGTCCATCGGTAACTGTTTTCATAATTTATTTAATTGTACTGTTAAATGTTGGCATTCACTTACACAAATGTGATAGTTATCTTTGCTGTTGGACTATTATTCCAGTTATCAGAACTGGTATATTTATTAGATATTTATTGGTTTATTTATACAACTGGAATATAAAAGCAGTAAATTTTAGTTACTAGCATATTGTCATCTGAATGTTTGTTCTTGAATTGCTAAGTGTCATATTACTTCACGTAGTTACTTTCGTTTTAAGGACTACTGGTACTGCCAAAAGGTGATAGACTTGTATGGCTTAGCGTAAATGAACTGCTTCTAAAAGAGGGTTTATTAAAATAATGAAACCGGAATAAAGATTTCTTTTTCTTGACATACCGTCGTATATTTGCAAATAGGCCATGGCAGAGCTGAAGTAATTTTAGGTTTTATGCTTTGTAAAACATGGACAATAAATGCAAATAAGTTGTGTAAAATGGGATGATGTGTATTTACTAACTACAGTCAGTCGACCGAAATTTTACCTATATTTTGCTGGGCTTACGTAGCCTATTTCCATGAAACTTACGCTGACTTACAGGAATTTCGAGATAATTTTGTCGTTTTTCGTAATAATCAGGCAATGTGGTTTGTTTACTAACAAGCAGTTGATAAGTCTTACAAGGATACTCCTGCTACAGCGAAGATTATTGTAAGTTTGCTAAGGATTTATGTCTGGAAACACCAAATAAAACCTGACTTGTCGTTATTTCGAAGACCATAGGATTTTTTATTGGCTTTGAGTTAATAAACATGGTATTTTAAATATGAACCATATCCGTTACAGGGGATAAGTTTTCGTATAGTTTCGATTCTGTCATATTTATTCGTGTACTGTAATCCGGATATTCCGAACTTAATTATGAAGTTCCGAAAACCATCTTACCTCCTTTTTTCTGTATTCCAGGTCCAGTGGAAACCATGCTTGACTACAATCGTATTCGGGATAAAACTTGGTGGCTTCTTCTATAAAGAAATTGTTGATGTTTAAAATATCAAGTTTTATTAATGTCACTGCTTACAGCCTAATACTTACATAGTTCTGTGATTTCTATTGTACGGTATTATCTTGTGTTTATGTAGCAATATTCGTTTTTTCCTAGAGCGGATTATTTCGAGGCTTAGTTATACTGATATATTTAAACTGTGTTTTGTGTGTATATCTGTCCCCAAAAATCAGTCGTACTGTGATACCACGAAATGACTAATAAACGTTGGAAATTTTAATCTAGTACTTCAGGTGCTAAACTCCTGGTGGAGTAATAAAAGTTGGCACAGTGGAAAGCATGTAGAATTATTTACTTAGTTATAAAATATATAGTTTCCGAGAGTACAGTCGAACAGTAAATATGTAGTCATAACGTTTAGCATAATACTGATACTACTAAGAGTAGATTCTGAAGTCAAAGGTTCAGTGAACAGAGGCAATATTAGGTATATTTTTATTTACTGCACTAATGTTGTATTCGGATTTTTGTTATTTCAGAAACCCGTACATTTTCAGATCTATAAAATTCCAAATGTTAAAGTCGAACAATCTAAAGTATGTGGTTTTAATGCAGTTGAATAAAGAGTTAGGTTAAATACTACAGAACAGCTAAAATGAACAACTGTGTTTGTTAACTCTAGGTAGTCGAACGTTTCTAACTGTAGTTCATTTGCCAACTTAATAAGTTTAAGTAATTATAGACCATTTAAAAATAAGCAATTATGAGCTCTAAAAGTTACTTTCTTAACCGTCATCACTGTTTTTGTGCTCACAGTATAACAGTCAATTATGTTTCCTTCTATCCCCTCACTGTTTAAAAGAACAACTTCCTCTCCGAATTCAGGATGTAGGATGTTTCTGACAGAGATTGTAAGAACGCAGTCTTTTTGGGGCATTAACTATAGGTAAAAGAGGCATCGGTTTCATCTAAAAGAAAGTCTTCATTATTGCCACTTCTCGTGACGTATACGCGCTCACATTTTTCTGTGTCAAGCATGATGTGATTAAATACTCATCAACAAAAACCCCACTGTAGAAATTACGAAATCTGACAGTTATAATTATTAAGATAAAAACAATAGCTGTATCTAACATCAAGTGCCTTATTTCACAATATGGTTATAAAGGTGTCGCTGTGGTCATCATATTTTCCCAAAACTGTTGCGAAAAGATACATCGGATTCAAGTTAATTGTCAAAATATTTTTATTCTGCAGTTACAGAACTTGGGAGTTCCTCAGAAGAAATTAGGTAAAACTCTAACATTACCTGGTAAATTTCGGCAACAAGCAGTGTTTCAAATAAAGGTACTAACAGTTGCTCGATAGTCTATTCAGTGAGAAGTCAACCGGTTTGCGTTTAATGACCCATTCATACCCCTCTAAGATGTTAAGTTGGAGCAGTAAGGCGATATTTAGTAGTCGTCTTCGACGGGCAGTCATTGTAATGTAAATCCAACTAAGTATACCTTTTTGTAACTTGTGTGAAGTACTTCATTTTCTCATCGGCAATAGTTGTTCCATAGGAAATTGCTAACGATGGTGCAATGATATAGTCGGTAACGACACATGATGAGTATCCTCAGGCTAAAGTTGAGGTTGGACGACTATTTCAGTACTTTTAGTGAGCAGCTGTTATGTGTTTAAATGAAGGGGTTATTTATGTACATTTTAGTAGTGATCACTTCAGAGACAGGGTCATTTGACAAAGTAATATTGAATTCGGCATACACTTATGGCGTGTTGACTTGGTTACAGATAATACTAACTAGTTAATAATAATGTTACTATATTTCATCAATCGGGAAACAAATGAGTACAACAGTTGTTCTATTGAATGAATGCTAGTCACTGTTGTTTTTCGTACATAACAACGAATCGGGATTTTAGGTGTTGTGACATTTTTTCAAATACGATCAATGGTTTACAATATATCACTTCATATTTTAAATCGTAAAAAAACGGCGTGAAGTTGAGCAACGAGATTACATAATTTATATCAAGTATTTGATTTGTCACATCCCAGTTTATGAATGTAACACTATTTGTTTTTAATTCATACCAATAGTATGTCATACCACTTGCTAAAACTTTCTTTAACTAGTAATCGATTCACCGTGCTGTTTGGAAACTGATACAACAGTAAGCTTAAATAACAAAAATGATTCGGCAATTTACTCAAAAAATTTTCAATAATTTTGTTCTCATTTTAATTCGACTACAGTATTGTTTCTTATGCTTATTGAAGCACTGATATCTTGTTTGTTTATTGAGTAAACGGTCTGATATTTACAAGTCGAATTCTATGGTCGCTTGTAAGTTAGTTTGGGAGTTAGTTTACTGTCTATCTACCGTTTCTCCATAATACTTATTGTAAATTTTTAATGGAAATCTACAGATTGTGAGATGACTGTAAGAATATATGTATACCAATCAAGTTGAAAGACGTTGACCATGTAATAAGTTAACTGAATTTGATAAGTGACAGGTTACAGTGTCTAACACAAAAGTTAATGTGGTTATCACAAGAGAGAAGTTTTGTATTCTATCCCAACAAACGATCTGTAGTAAGAACTTTTATAGAGTTCCAAATCAAGTCAAAATAACTTGAGAGTATCATCAGGTTTGTTAAAGGAATATTATCAGATGTAAAATATGGAACACGGAAACAAAACATATGATGACTTGTTTACGAAAAAAGAATGGGTGTTACTTTTAATTGAAGGTAAAGTGTTTCGATAAATTCACTAAAAGTTTAAGCACCTCAGAACAGGTTAAAAAATAAACTCACATATGTAATGATTCACATTAATAATGGCAAGAATGCTTGCTTCAAAAATCATATTAGCATAATGGGATTCATTAGCTAGGTAAAGGTTTATGTACTTTGTCCTCAGCCACGCTTTACGTGAGGGGCACTGGCAATATATTACTACCCAAAGCGAGTAACATGAAGTTCGTATCTACTAACAATTACTTGAAATCTAGGTACTGTAAAGAACAAGCCGCTACCTTATGGAATATAGAAGGTAGAGTTCTTCATCTCTTTAGTTCTATTCCCAACAGAAATATTATTTTAGAATTGGAAAGCTTAAAAACTTGAGGATTGTTTGAAGTAGTAGAGTTAGTTGTAACCGATCTTTTTAGCATTTTATTTATCGTTACACTAAGGAAGTTACTATTTATGCCGTCTAAGATAAGTCACTTGCAAATAGAAAGACACTAAAAGTTATTGATAGTTATCACTACTTTTGTTACGTGGTGAGGGAGAGCTTGTGTTTCTATTTTTCCAAAAATATTTTCTGTACTAAGGCCGTTAATACTTATCGAATATATGATGGACTTCTAGAAAAATTTATGTAATTGGAGATACTTGAAAAGGTAGTAAGCGGTATATTATTATAATTACAGCGAATACGATTACTGCACTAAAAGCCGAGAAAATGAAAACAGCCTGTTTCCTCGTTTGGTAAGTAGATGTTAACTTTTTACACCAGCGTTTTTCTTATGTTTGTAAGTTATTTCTCTATCTTAAAAAAATATGTACAAATAATTCATGGTACGATATGTTAAATAGAAATGCTAACTTGATGTCATTATCAACGAATCATTTTTCTTTTCAATCAACTTACCATTCACATTAAAGTTAAACATTTACTTAATGTTTACTTTTAGATCCTCATCAGGCTTTACTCTAATATACAGTAATATTTATATGCATATACGAAATTATTTAACCAATCAAGACAGTTTATGAGTCAATGATGACAGTGGAATAGATTACATAAATAAGTGAAAGGTGTAAATTGGTAGTGTGATGACAGGTGTACTAGTTGTGATAAGAATAATAAAGGCTTGAATCAATGTTACAAATCAAATGTTACTTGATGTTTACACACGTATAAAGTTAGAAATATAAACTTTTGTTACCTAACTAAATGGTTTCAACACATCGTTCTCTTTTGAGGATATAAAGGCTGTAACCTAGATTGTGTGTAAAATATATGTGCACTAATTAGTTGTCTCAGATTAAAGTAAAATGGTTGTTTAATATCCACTAAGTTGCAATAATTCTCTAGCTGATATCATTTTGTGGTGAAAACTAGTTACAAATGAGTAATCATAAACTTTTTTTACTTGTATAAATATAATTTACTCATTCTAACTTAAACACAATTGGTGGATAGAAATCAGTTTTAAAAGTAATTGCCATTTTTTTATAATAATAAATACCAATAATTGTTTCACTGGTTGAAATCATGAGTCAGTTGAAGCTAGACCACCATGGAAAACCTGGAAGCACTGGACGGCCGTTTCGTCTCAGTATGGGACTCCTCAGAAGTGCGCATCCACGATCCCGCACCCCACGGGATTCGAACCCAGGACCTACTGGCTTCGCGCGCGCGCGCACTTAACGACTAGACCACTGAGCCGGCATCCAACAGTGTTAATCTCTAACTTCAACCAATCCACGAAGTTGCGCCACCGTACACCATTGTCTTTAGTGAGCTGATATCTCACAAGAGACCTGGTTGAACTCCACTGGTAACGGCTTCTCACTAGAATTCCAGAAGTATCTCCTAAATCCCACGGGGTACGGGATCGTGGATGTGCACTGCTGAGGAGTCCCGTACTAGGACGAAACGGCCGTCCAGTGCTTCCAGGTTTTCCGTGGTGGTCTAGCTTCAATTGACTCATGATTTCAACCTGTGGAATTTCTAAAAATCTCCACAAAACCCATTCTGATAATAATTGTTTATCACTAAAATATTGAACTATATTAGAGTTCAGTTACACTAACATTATTCGTCTTATCGTGTTCTGAAACTTTTCTAATATTCTATTTACCACCTCTTGCTTAACCATAAATAAAGTTTGCCATAATTTTAAACCAATACGATTTTAAAACTAACGACAATATCAAATTAGTTAACCAATGAAAAATAGCGATATTTTTCTAATGTTATAAACTATCAAATAAGTTTCACTGTTTATTTTCTTTTAAAAAAATTCTACTAAACTCATGTTTACAATGATAAAAAGTATGAGATTTACACACAAATAACTAATTAAAAATATTTGTTTAAAATGTTAAAGATCATGCATATTTTTATTTTAATTGCATTACTTTCTTCATCAAAGGAGATGGTGTTATCGTCAAAGATAAAATAAATGACATTTTCAAATTAAAAATGGATACTTTAAACATAAGTTGTAGTCAATTACATACAATCAATTCTACAAATTCATCATTTAAAATGATTTTATTTATCAATATAAAATTTTTTGCAATTATTGTTCAATTAATTGGGATACCATTAAACTTATTTGTATTACATGGATTACTCAATGTGAAGTTAGGATCACGTTTAACAACACTACTATTATGTAATCAATGTGTATTTGATTGTCTTATTTGTACATTTGCTTTATTAAAAATATTAAAATCTGAACGTTGGTATACAGGTTATATAATTATTGATAGTGTACTATGTTATGTGTGGTTTAGTCACACATTATTTTGGCTGGTTGTATTACTAAGTTTAAGTAATATGATGTGTACAGCTTTAGATCGTTTAGGAGCTGTTGTTTGTAGTCGTACATATCAATTACGTCAAAATATTTACATAATATTATCATATACAAGTATTTCAATTTACTCATTAATATTAATCGCTATCAATCCATTATTATTACAATATCGTGATCAGAAATGTTATGATACTATATTATATGATAAAAACTGGATATATATATTAATGAAAGTGGATTCTATATTGTGGCCATGTCTTACTTATTTATTTCCATGTGTTTTAACTGTCACTGTGTATGGAAAAGTTATAGGAGTGTTGAAAAGTACAACATTTCGCCATCAATATAATTATAATAATAATAGTTTTAGTACTGCTATCAGTATTAATAGTAGTACCAACAACAGTTGGACACGTAAAATTTCAAGTCATAAATTAACTGTATCCTATGCTAAACAAAAAAGACATCGTAAAATTGCTCAGTCTTTAACAATAGCTACATGTATTATGCAAACAATATTTTTAATAACGCATTCATATGACAGAATTTATTACTTTCTTAGTATACATCGATGGATACTTTATCAAATTGATTGTACAACTCATTTAATTGGTTTATGGCTTGTAACACTGAATAGTTGCATTAATCCAAGTACGCTTATATTTATTGTACGCCCATTACAAATCTATCTTATTCAAACCATTAATCAGTGTTTTTGTAAATATTCAAAACGATCCAATATGCAAACATCAACAAATTATTTAAGTGAACAACAATCTGAAACGTGTTTAAGCAGAACAGAATTCGGAAATAGGTCAAATGGAATTGAATCATAATCAAGTATCCTGTCTAGAAAAAATTCAATACTATGAGAAAAAAACATTTTCTAATAGGTTTCTATATATTCAGTGGTGTGCTTTTTAAATCCCTTGCAAAGGTAGCTTTCTATTGGTGAACATCAACAATGGAATAACAATTATTGCGATAATTTTTTTCTAAATTGAGCAGATGAGTGCTATAACTTTATAATTTCAATATTTAGCTAAATGTGTATGTAGTACCATTGAGTCACTTATTACAAAAGAGAGATACATAAATATAATAATTATTATTACTTCTTGTATGTTATGAGAAAACTGGAAGATTTACTAGTATTCCTACAAAGCTTATCAGCATTATTATAGGAACGAAATTTCATTAATTAATTTCACTTTCTTTGTTAGTAAACATTCAATGCACATTTTGTGATGATAATTAATTTTTAATGATTTAATTAATTAAGTCAATTAGTCAATTACGTTTCAAGTTAGAAATCAGAGTACCGATTTTAGATTCTATATGGCTCGTAACCAGCAGAATTAATTTCCTATTATCATTATTCAAAATGACTTGGCAACAAAATGTTCAACTAAGTCTGAACTCAATACAATGTATTAATCTATTTGTAATTAGAGTGATAACTTTACAATTATTATCACATACATTAGAAAGTTATATCTAGTTTGAATATTTCTTGGAAACTTTGATTATTTAAAGTACTAAACATTAATTTGTCATAATAGTTTTTCCTGTTTCATTTTCAAATCTATCACATTGTCACTGGTAGAAAAAATAATATTGTCAGTTTAATGTTATCTTACTGGTTTTGGACAAATTGATGAACGAACACCTCTATATCCAGTGTACAAAATGAGGTTTTCCCTTATAACAATGAAAATTGAGATAGAAATTATTCTAGAATGTTTTGTCGGTTACTTGAAGATTGTAGTCACGTCATCCATACCATTTCATAAAAGTTTACCAATTAAATGTGTAATATTCAATAACTCTCATTTAGTCATAATGACTTGTTTACACTAGCGATTGTATTGATTTTAGCATTTCGATCATATGCCTGTACTAGGTCGTCAGTCGGTCAATTTTAAGCAACTTTTCAGTTTGCTATGTCAGCATAGTTAGATGATAATATCAAGAGGGTGTCAGAGTACTAGTTTTACTGCTAGTAACAGTATTAGTAGTAGTGGAAAACATTAAAGACAGACAATATAATTCTAGAAGACAGAAACAACTAGTTGAGTTCAAAGTATATTACAGTTTTAAAACCCAAAATCTAAGAAAAGACAAAAAATGAGTGCACCTGCTCTTTTGCGACCGATTGTCAACCGTATCATTTTCTTCAATCATTAGTTATATTAATTGTGAAGACAAAAATTAGGAATTCTGTACCTAACAACAAGGCTCAATCCAGCAGTCAATGATTTTATGAACTAATGTTAAATCTTGATTCAAATGCCCCCAGATTTCTTCCAATCCACTCCTACCCTAGGAAACATCACTTTTGGAGGTACGTGATGGTTGAACACACGTTATACATGACCCAACCATCTCAGTTGACACATATTCACTATCCCATCAGACTACTTGTCATCTTTACCGGTTACTATACACTCAACCTTATCAGCGGAAAGTTCTTAATCCAAGAGTTCTGAAGTTAACTGTGTTGGATGGCTTGTGGAAATTAGTTCAATTTGAAACTAGATCTTAATACTGATTAATATTAATTTGGAGAATTATGTTAGGAATCAAACATAATGAATGATCGCATGAGACGACATAAGCTGGATATGTGGGGTCCTCGGTTTACATCACTCAAAAGCCTTAAAATGAATCGAACTATCTGTTTGTTCAACTCTTCTTGTTTTCTAATGTTTTTCTGGCTAATGTCACCACTCAGCGGAAGCGATCTTCAAATTATAGATTTAATCTTAGCAAAACTATAAAGAACATTTGTAAAATGATTGTTGACCAGTTTGGTTTTGGTCATTATTCTTAGCAAAATAAGTTTTATATATATCTTATTTCCGCCTGTTACCCTTCGTGGGGGAACATGGACTGCCCACCAGCACTTTCCAACGAACTCTGTCCTGGGCAATCGTCTCCAGTTTCCATTCATCCTTTTCATGTCTCCTTCCAATTCTCGTCTCAGTGTGTTCTTTGGCCTTCCTCTTTCCCGTTTCCCAACACGATTCCAAGTTAGAGCTTGCGCCGTGATACAATCTGATGATTTCCTCAATGTATGTCCTATCCACTAACTCCAACGTATTTTCCGGATTTCCTTCTCAACTGAAACCTGGTTTGTTCTCTCTCACACTAGGCTGATGGTAACTTGCCAACAAACATTCAGTATATTGAGTAAACAATTGTTTATAAATACTTGTACTGTTTTGATGATGGTTGTGGTAGCTCTCCATGTTTCGGCTTCATACAGTGGAACCGTCTCGACCTTCTTATTGAAGATAGTGACTTTTACATTGGTTGACAGTTGTTTTGAGTTCCATGTGTTCGTCAACTGTAGGAATTCTATCCTTGCTTCGCCAATCCTTGCATTCACATCTTCATTAGATCCTCCACATTTGTCGCTGATGCTACTTAGATACAGAAAAGTTTCCACCCCCTCCAGAGTTTCTCCATCAAGTGTGAATGGTTTGGTGTTCTCTGTGTCGTACCTCAGGATTGTGCTTTCTAAATTGTGTATGTTGAGGCCTGTTGATGCAGAGGCTGCTGCTGTTACACTGTGTGACTTGAATTACATTTATTTGTGTGTATGGGATAGAAGAGCCAGGTCGTCTGCAAAGTCTAAATCGTCTAGTTCCGTCTAATATATCATTTTATTCCGTGCTTCCCGTCAGGTGTGGAGGTCTTCATTATCCAGTAAACCACAAGGATAAAGAGAGGAGGAGAGTAGGGAGACTTGTCCGACTCCGGTCCTCACTTGGAATGCATCTGTCAGTTGACTTTGCAGTGTAGTCTGTCGTATGAATTCCAGATAATGTTGAAGGTCTTCTCGTGTACTCCATAGTGTGGAAGAAGTTTCCACAATGTTATCCTATCCACACTGTGAAATGTGTTCTCATAATCAAGGAAGTTGATGAATAGCGGTGAGTTCCATTCAATTGATTATTCAACGATGATACGTAGTGTCTCAACTCGGTGTGTACATCACCGATATTTACGGAATCCGGCCTGTTGGTCTCGAAGTTGGAAGTTTACTGAATATTCCATCTGGTCCAACAGCACTCTGTTGAAAACGTTTCCCCGCACTGATAGTAGTATGATGCCACTGTTGTTCTCGCACTTGCTGAGATCTGCTTTGTTTGGTATCATGATAAGAAATCCATATTTTCAGTTTGTCGGGACTTGTTCTTCTTCCTTAATCTTTCTGAATAGGACGTTGAGTACACTTGCAGTTACTTCTGTGTTTAGCTTCAGTGCTTCAACTGGCATATGGTCAGGTCCTGCTGCTTCCCCACTCTTGATTTGTCTGATGACCATCCTGATTTCTTCGATCGTTGATGGAGTGACAGATATAGGGAGATCTGTGTGCACTGCTTCAGTGTCTGGTGGATTCATTGGAGCCGGCCTATTCAGGAGTTCCTCAAAGTCCTTTGCCCACCTGTTCCACCGTTCTTAAATCTCAGTGATTGGCTTGCCTTCTTTGTCCTTGACTGGTCTCTCTGGTTTACTATATTTCCCTGCCAGTTTATTTGTTGTGTCACATAGTCGTCGCATATTTCCTTTTCTTGAGGCTTTTCCACTATCGTTGCCAGGTCTTCCACGTATTTCAGCTTCCTGGTTCTAATGTTCTTCTTCACTTGTTTGTTCGCTTCAGTGTATTCAATCCGTGTTTCTACTTTCTCTGTTCCTGTTCAACTGTTGTTAATAGCCGTCTCCGTGGTTTCGCTTGCTTGAATCTTGCACAGGGCTTGAATGGAGATCCATTCCTTATGATGATGCCTCTTGAGACCCAGAACCTCTCGGCACGTTGAAGTTAGTGCTCCTTTGATCCCTTCCTAGTTGTCCTCCATAGTAGTTTCTTCTTTTTTCATTAGATCCTATAAAGTTTTCAACCTGTTGTTGAGAATTATCTTGAATTCGTTGAGTTTGTTAGTATCTCGAAGGAAGGCTGTATTGAACCTTCATAATGCTGTTTCTCCAGTTGTCCAATGCTTCTTTAGCTTTAGTTTCATCTTGGCCACAACTAAGTGGTGATCTGAAGCTATATCAGTACCTCTCCTGGTTTTCACCTCTTCTATTGACCTGAATAGTTTGGTTATGCGAATACGATCGATCCGGTTCTGTGTAGTGTAATCCAGTGATGCTCATGTAGCATTGTGTATGCGTTTGTATGGGAATAGTATGCCGCCTACAACGAATTTGTTGAATGCACATAAATTTGAAAATCTCTCGCCATTCTCGTTCCTTTCTCCCAGTCAGTTCATGTAGTCCCATGATATCTTCATAACCGTTGTTGTCAATTCCGACTTTGGCGTTTAGATCTATCATCAGGATAGTCAGGTCCTTTCTTGGGCACTTCGCCGTGATCGATTGCAGCCTCCCATAAGACTGATCTTTATTGTCGTCATTGCTATCATTGATGGGTGCATAACATTGGATAACATTCACTGTAATTCCCTTCTTATTTGTTTTGAATGATGCTTCGATGATCCTGGATCAGTGAGATTCCCACCCAATAAGTGCATTTCGTTCTTCTTTGGATGGCACCAGAGCAACTCTCTGTGTGCGGAGCATTTTCTTCTTAACCAGAAATAACAACGACTCTTTCGAATCTATCCTTTTCTGTCCAATAGGTTTCACTGGTTCGGAGAACCGTCATGTTGTATCTCCTAATTGCCACAGCTATTTGATTGGTCCTTCCAGTCTCCCACATTGTCAGAACATTCCATATACCTATATTAATTGTTTCTCCAGTTGTTAGAAGAGGCTTCAGTCTTGTGATTTCCTAAAACCTCAGCTTCCATCATGAGGCGTCAGAATT